CTGCTGACCGTGCCATGCTGCTCAACTGACCGCCTGCATAGCTCGCGGCCCTAGTCTTCAGCATTCAGTGACGACCTGATCGTACGCCCAGCAGGAAGGTGTCCTTCCAGCGCGTGCACGCTTCTGACGCAATGCGCGTCGCCTCGGATTGGCTGCTGGCACTCTCGAGGCTATGCCTACACAGCCTCGCGCGCATGGGTAGTCAAGAGGGAGACCATGCACCTTCTCAGGACAGCGCCGGTGCCTCTCTCTTGGACCGGCAAACGCGGTGGTCTCGTGTCACCGATGTGGGACCAGTGCGGCATCGCGCCATCGACAGCTCTGAACTGCGCCTCACCACTGACCAGGAAGGCCGCCAGGGGGGCCAGCACCGGTCGCACATTGTGGCAGCAGTCAGCAGCGCATGTCTGATAGCTAGAGCAGCAGCATCAGGGTCGCAGGGTCGGATCGTGTCAAGCCTCTCGCCCGGCCGGCCGCGTGCAGACGTCGGCCTGTCTGCTGTCCGGAGTGATCTGTCGGCGGTCAGTACGACCAATCAGGTCGGAGTTTTCTTATGATTGGAGGGTCTATCTGTGTGTACTCCTCGAGATCTCTTCAAATCTGCCCTCTGATCAACCGTGATCATTCGGGAAGTTGGTGCTAGTAGAGACTAGTAGAGCCGGAGCCCCGTTTCCGCACTGCTGCCGCGCGGCGCATGGTGCCTCCGGGGGGCCCCGCCTCCCCCCAGAGCCCCAACGAACACACCAGCGAGGGAGGGCTAGACGATCGAGGGGTCCCGTACCATGCGGAATCGACCCTATCCAGTGCTCAAGTGCTCAAGTGTACGCTGTGACGGCCCGCGGTCTCTGCCAGAGGTGAGCCTCTCTCCACATAAACAAGAGCCCCCCCCCCTTGCGACTGCTTACATTGCGGTTTAGGCTTTTACGTAGAGCCGTATTCGTACGACGCGTGTGCCCAGACCGCAGACGAGATCAATAGTATGTAAGGTGCGCCCCCCTCAACACGACCGATTTATGACTCACACAGGCGGACTCTCCATGCTGCCGGCGCGGCCGCTGCGCCGCAGCCTGTCGACGTCGAGCCGGGTGCAGAAGCGATGCAGCGGAAACCCGACCACGTTCTGATAGCAGCCTCGGATGCCAGTCACGAATGAGCCACCCATGCCTTGAATTCCGTACGAGCCCGCCTTGTCCATCGGCTCGCCCGAGGCAACGTAAGCGTCGATTAGCTCTGGCGGCAGCGAGGCGAAGTCAACCTCTGTCATCTCGGCGAAGGAGTCCTCGGTCGGCGGAGCGCCGTATGCCGCGCCGTATACAAGAGCTACGCCAGTCAGCACCTGGTGCGACCGGCCGCTCAGCTCGGACAGCATTACAGTCGCCGCCTCTGTGCTCCGCGGCTTCTCGAGGATCTTGTCGTCGGCCACCACGACCGTGTCCGCACCGATTACAAGCGAGGGTGGTGCCTCGGCGGCGCAGAGCCTGCGGTACACCTCGAGCGCCTTCTGCCGCGCATTCTCCTGCACATAGCCAGCCGGAGTGTAGTCTGCCTTGACCAAGTCCTCCTCAAACGTCGAGGGCACGACGCGGGCGCGCAGGTCCATGACGTTATTGAGGATGTCAACGCGCCTCGGAGAGCTGGAGGCGAGGATGATGTGCGCTGCACGGACGGCGTTCAGATCCGACAGCATTATTGACTGCGGCCCCCAGCCGCAGCCCAGAGGAAAAGAAACTTGCCCCGGTGCCTTCCGGCTCCTACCCAGATAGGGGGTCTGTTTACCACGGGTAGACCCTATGCAATAGGTAGGTAGGTCCGGTTTTGACCGCCTCAGAGGGCCCCGCAATAGGTAGGTAGGTGGCGGTAGGTGTGGGGGGGGGGGGGAGGAAAAAACCGCTTCGCTTGCGCGGGAGACGGCGCGTTTAGCCGCGAACGGGGCCATGCCAGACGTGTCGCCTGCGGCTGGGACGCCAGCCGAGATGGGTGCGGCGGCGGCGCCCGCGGTGGCGGCGCCCGGGACGGGCAGCGCTGGCGAACGCGCCCGGGACGGCAGCGCCGCCCGCTGCTGGTGCGCCGGCGATGCCCTCGGTGCCGGCGCTGTGCAAGGACATCTCCCGCGCGGAGCTCAAACAGTACCTCAAGGAGTATTCGACGGAGAGCGGCGAGAAGCTCTTTGCCGCCGCCAACGTGGACATGCTCGAGCACCTTCCCATGTCCACCGTCTACGAGGCGTCGAAGAGCAGCGCCAAGTGGGAGACGGTCGCCAACATGCTCTTCCCCGACAGCAAGGCGGCGTCGGAGATCTTCTTGATCAAGGTGCGCGAGGCTAAGAAGGCCGAGACCGAGGCGGCGGCGTCGGCCAAGAAGTCGAGCAAGGTCGCGTGGAAGGAGGACCTGCTCGCGGCGAGGCGGGCGAAAGAGGCAGAAGAGGCGGCGGCGCGCAAGACGGCGGCACTGGAGCGCGCCCCGTGGTGCCTGAGCACGCCGGTAGGCGCCGAGCCAGAGTGCCGAATCGCCACCCCGTCATGGCACGGCGTGAGCTGCGCCTGATTGCGTGAGACGCAAATCGGAAGGGTGCCGAAGTGGCTCTCCTCGTGCGGGCGGCGACCGATCTTGTAGGCGGGAGGGTCCGTGCCCTCGACTCTGTCGAGGGAAGAGAGTGCCGTTTTGGAGCCGTCCAACGCCTCGAGAGCCCAGTAGGCCATGCTCTGGCGGGCTCGCGAGCGGCGCGCACCGCGGTACAAGCCGGCGCGCGGCGGGCGCTGGCTGGGAGCCTATTCACACAGTATTTTTCGCTTCGCTGCGCGGCCTGGGAATAGGTAGGTAGGTGGGGCACGGAGCCTGGCGATTGGCGCCCGCAATAGGTAGGTAGGTAGGGCGTTTTGGTGCGAGTCGTGGTAAACAGACCCCCTATCCGGGTAGGAGCCGGAACCCTGGCGTCATGGCTTCCGAACCGCGAGCAGCAGCAGGCGAGCAGCAGGGCAACCAACTGAGGCGGATTTTAAAAAGAATTTGGAGTCAGAGTGTGCGTCGTGTGCGTGTCTGGTGTTAGTAGTTAGCTCCGAGGAGAGGGGGCGCTCCGCCGCTAGGGGAAACCCAAAGCGCAGACCGTAACCCTCGTGCTAGTGTTTCTTTAAATGGCGTGATAGTTTCTGCTCGTTGGTGCACCTGCACGAAAAGAAAGAAAATAAAAGCATGGGACGGCACGCCGTCACCCTGAACTATCCGAGACAGGCTTTTCCTGTGAGAGTTTACTCGCGATCTCGCGATCCTGTGAGAAACGGTAGCGCAGAGACCTGAAACGGTCCGTCCGTCGACAACTTCGAAACGTCCCGCAGCTCCCGCCGATCTCCCGCTAACAGATCTTACCCCACCTGTAACCCCTCTATTTAAGGTATTGCCCGCCGTGTCCCGCCGTGTCCCGCTGTATCCCGCGATGACTCACACCCCAATTCCCCCGGCCGCCGCGGCGCCGTCCGGGCGTCCGTGTTCTTGAGAGACCTAACTGATTTTGCCTGTCGGCGGCCTCGCGAAACGCGGCCCGCACTGCTCTTTCCTCTTACAGTCTTACTCGCGAGTCGTTCAACTCGTTGCGCCACTCGCTGGTTCTGCATCCGCTTCAGGCAATTGATTGGCAATCTACTACACACACAACAACACACGTGACACGTTAGATCCATTTGTTTGGTATTGGTCCCCAGAGCGGCCGCACACTGCTCGGTACCCCCCCTGCACACCTAAGCTCATGGCCGACCCCCCCCCCCCCCCCCCGCAGAGCTCTGCTGCTGGGGGGGTCCCCCTAGCGGCAGGGATGAGCTTAGAAGTGCAGGGGAGGTACCGAGCAGTGTGCGGCCGCTCCCAGCTCCCGCCGATCTCTCGCTAACGAATCTTGTCCCGCAGCTCCCGCCCATCTCCCGCTAAGGGATCTATCCCCACCTGTAACCTCTCTTTAAGGGATTGCTAAAAATCTCGGAATTATCAATTGGACGCCCGTTGTGAGGACGAGGGAGATCACACTCCATCGATTGATGAACATGTACATGCTGTGCATGTGCATGTGCATGTTGTACATGTTGTTGGACAGCAAAGAGCAGCGAGTGTCGACAGCAAACTGACGGAACGCTAGCCCTACCTACGAGCTACGTAGCGACAGTGTTCTTCACCTTCCTATCTATCTATGTAGACAGTCGCTGGCGGCTCCCGCCGTGTACCTGTGTTCGTGCCAGTGTGCGCGCCTGTCCCAAGGAGGGATGCGTCCAGGATGCACGTCCTGCAGTTTGAGGTGTGCTTTCGTTCCCTCTCCTCGGTGACCAAACGACGAGCTGGAGAGCTGGCGACCGAACGCGACCCGAGGGTGGCTGGCGGCGATGGACGACCGAGCGGAGACGCAACGAATCGAGGAGCGGCTCCCGCAGGGAACCGACGAGTGGCTCGCGAGACCTCGGCTGTCGACGACTTCGCGAGGAACGATCACGCCGGTGGTGATACTGCAGCCGCTGTCCGCGCCGGTCGGCGACGTGGTGATGTACACCGGGCCGTTGCAGCCGATGGGGCAGCTCCACGGGATCGGCAGGGAGTTCGGTGTCGGGACACAACCGTTGCCTGCATGCGTTGTTCGGGAGGCCGGCGAAGGCGCGATCACACAAGATGAGCGCAGAGGCGACGTCGGGCCGACGCGAGCAAACAAGACGAGGCGGATGGATCGGCGCCTCACTCACTGGCAGTGCATCTACTGCCGGCGCGAGACGCGGAACGATGCACGGGCGACGAGGCGCTGGAACTGCGATGGCGAGAAGGAGCAGCTGCGTGACGCGGACAGTGAGGGGCGCGAGGCGGCGCGCCGCGGGCAACGTGCGAAGGAGTACGCTGGCAGATCGCTGAACGCGCTCGGCGCTGGCACGTCGCTGGTGCCGCGAGCCGCGCAGGGAGTGTTCGAGCGGGCGCGGTTGGAAGTGCTCGTGCACTGGGAGACGCACTCAACAGGGACATCTCTCTATATACACGAGTGGGGTATTCACACTCCCAACAAATCCCGCCGACCACCAGGCCGCGGGATGATGTGTGCGTGGTCATGTAGTGGGTCTCGGAAGCTCCCCTCTCGGGCTAGGGCAAGTGCGGGGCCACGAGCACCAGGCAGGCGGCGCGGGCGGCGGAGGCGGCGGAGACGGTGGCGAGCGCGGCCTCGAGGCGGCCATCGAGGGGACGCGCGGGCAGCGCGGGCGCAGGGTCGGTGGCGCAGTCGGTGGCGCAGAGTGTGTACCAGCGCGTGCTCCACCTCGCGCTCCGCTTGCGAGGCGGCGCCGCCTCTGAGCACAATGGCTGCTAGGCTCGACCCCACGCTAGCCTCCGGGGGCTGACTTCAAGGCGGCGACGGCCGGCTAGGCCACAACGACGAGAGTCTCGCCGTCGCTGCCAACGGCGCCGTCTTTGCCTGGAGCGAGGTTCAGAGGCAGCGGCGGCGATGAGAGACACGCGATGGTTTTCTTTTTCTGAGAGTTTGCTGTGAGAGTTGTTTTAGTTAAATTCTTTCCGAGCGCAGTGTCGAGAGAGAGAGAGAGTTTTGTTGTAAAATTCTTTTCAGTGCTGTCAAAGGTTTTTGTTCCATTCTTTCTTTTCAGGTGAGCCGGTGTGTATGCCAGTCCGCGCCAGTCCGCGCCCTTGTCGTGCCAGTGTGCTGTGAGAGAGGCTTGTATTTTAAGAATTCTTTTCAGTGTGCTGAGAGACTCTTCTCTTTGAATTTTAAGAATTCTTTTCAGGAGGATCCTTTACGGTCTGATGAGGTGTGTGAGGTGCGATATAATGCGGAGAATCAGAGACGGAGAGAGAGAGAGAGAGAGAGAGAGAGAGAGAGAGAGAGAGAGAGAGAGAGAGAGAGAGAGAGAGAGAGAGAGAGAGAGAGAGAGAGAGAGAGAGAGAGAGAGAGAGAGAGAGAGAGAGAGATTGTTTTGTTTTGTCAATCTTTTGTGGTGCATCAGCGCGTCTCTTCTCTCTTGCATCAGTGCAAATATCAAATAAATATAAACAGGATCCGCACGCAGAGATAGAAAGAGAGTCAAAAATCTCTCTCAGAGATACAAACACATTGCTAAAAAGTCTTTCTCTCAGAGATACGCACAGTCAGGATTCCTAGATCCAACTAGATGACAAACAACCGGGCGGTGCTATGCGCCTCACGCCGCACATCCCCCCCCCCCCCCGAGCGACGTACTCACAGAGTCACAGCAGAGTCACAGGAACAATAAGTGCACGCCCACAAGCGTGGTCCGCGTCTTGTTGGCCGCCGCAGAGGCGTACAGACAGAGAAGAGTCGAGGGCCTACTGCCCGCCGTGGCACGTACTGCCAGCTTCCCCCTCAACCTCCCACCTCCCATTCACCTCTCACTGGGGGACCGGAGCAGCCGGGCTCGATGTCCCGCCGCCTGCAGCACGCGCGACACCGGCCCAGCGAGGAAGTGCTCGAGGCTGGGCGTGGCAACGCCCGCAGCCTTGCCCTTGTCGTCCCAGTGGCGCAGCTTTGCGGCGGCCATGGCGTACGGCTGCTTGATCCACGCCGCCGCCTCCGTCTCGGAGAAGGTCCCGCCCTGCACCTCGAGCGACCTCTTCGAGGCGGAGGAGAGGCCGTCCCAGTACCCCTCCACGGCCTGGGTGAGGTAGCGCTTGGCGGGCACGTGCAGCCGCACCGCCTCGGTGATCTCGGACGGGAAGCGGGGGCGCAGCCACTCGGCGCCCTTGAGCTCATGCTCGAGGTCCTCATGGTGGGAAGGGGGGAGGAGGGGAAGGGGCAGAGGAGGGGAAGGGTCAGACATCGGTCGGGAGGTTAGTGCGGTCGAGGGCTGGGTTGGGCAGGTGGGAGGAGAGAGCGGAGCGTCCCCTTGGCGGCGAGCAGCGCCTGCATAGCTCCCTGGCCCTGGATGTGAGGTTGATGACTGCACTCCAAGACCAAGTGCTCCAAGTGCTCCAGGTGCTCCAAGTCCAGTGCTCCAAGTGCTCTCCGCTGCGCGCTGGGTGCGCTTCTTAGCTCCCCGGCCCTGGGCGCTGGGGGTGAGGCTGGCGACTGCACTCCAAGTGCTCCAAGTGCACCGGCGGTTAAACCGAGGCGGTGAAACTGGAATTTCGTAGCTCACTAAACACGTTAATCGTCGTTTATCCTCACGGCCTGTGGCCCGACCTGGCCGCACTGCTCGCGCTGCTGCAAATCGACGAAGACGAAGGTGGTCATGTCAAAGACCCCGGAAGTGGCGTCGTCCTGGGTCCGCGTCAACCGCACCGGAGACGTAGGCTTCGACGCCAAATCGACCGCTACGCTGGTGCGCGATACACCGCCTCACTTCCAGTGGACCGGCACCGGCTCGGTGCGCTCGTGGCAGTCGAACGACTTGCTCCACTGGACCGCGGCGGAGGACGCAATCGTGGGCCGGCCCGGCAGCTTCGACCCAGGCTACTGCGAGGCGGGCGCTCCACCGGTGCGCCTCGCCGACGGCAACTACTTCACGACCTACGACACTATCATTGGCAGTCAACGGCATGGCTGGGCTGCCGGTTGGGTAGTGCTGAACGGCAGCAACCCGCGCGAGGTGCTCCAGCGGGGTGGCGAGCCGCTCGTCGAGCCGACTCGCCCGTGGGAGCTGCAGACGCCGCCGCAGTGGAATTGGACGCAGGCGGTCCAGGAGGGCGGGGTGCCGATGATTGGCGCGACCAACGGGCTCATGCCATTAGGTGGTGATGTGTTTTTGGCTTGGGCGTGCGCCTCTGATTCGGTGGTGGAGGCGTTCGAGGTGCGGGTGACGAAGTGGTAAAGAGTTTGAAAACAAAATGTGGGCACGGTCCACGGATTGACTCTAACGACACACAAACCCTCTCACTCACACCTCACAGAGTTCAGACACAGATTCACATGTTCAGACAAAGGTTGACAGAATTGGCACGGTAAAAAAAGATTACGGAGTGCACACATCGCCTTTGCTATGACCATCAACAAGGCGCAGGGCCAGACGCTCGAGCGCGTGGGCATTTACCTTCCGGAGCCTTGCTTCACGCACGGGCAGCTCTTACGTGGCCGCGTCGCGAGTGGGCCTACCCGACCACCGGTTCGCCGTCCCGATCGACAAAGATACCGACACCTTCCGCACATGCAACGTGGTCTTTCGCGAGGCGCTCACCTCAGGAGCGAACAACAAAACGTGTGAGTGTTAGAGTTGTTTGGTATTGCTAAAAATCTCTCTCTCAGGAGCGACCCGAACACAGCCCGCCGCACCCCGCCGAGTTTGATCGTCACAAAACAGATTCCTGCCGGATTGCTCTTGTGTCGCGTCAAAAAGAAAACCCAAGGGCATCGAATTCTTTTCCCTGTTCTTGCTGACATTTCGCCGTCAGCCAGGTTCGCTCCCTTACATCGAGATTTTTTTGGTTCTTTATCT